AGCACTCCCTACCTTCCATTAGCATGGCTGATGCTAACCTCCCGAGGAGTGACTCGTTGTGCTTTCTCAGGTTAATATTCTCGGCTGACAAGAAGTGGAAATATTATATTGAATCAATTGTTAGGTCAACTGCTAAGGAAATTGGATCACTGTATCGTGTTAGACAATTTTTCTCTCCAGAATTTATCTTACATATCTATAAGCCTACCATACTTCCATGCTTAGAATATTGCTACTATATATGGTGCGGTGCTACTGCTATATATTTAGAGATTCTTGATAAAGTCCAAAGAAGAATCAGCAATATTATTGATCCTAACCTGGTGTCCCAGCTTCAGTCACTTTCCCGCCACCGTAAAGTTACTTCCCTGCGTCTTTTCTATAAATACTCTCATGGTAATTGTTTGGACGAGCTCTTCCTTATAGTACCAAGGCTTTATGAATTTAAACACAGTAATAGATTGGCAATGAGGTTTCATCAATCTACAGTTAAGTTGGCTAGATTTAACCGTAAGTTCTATGCTAAGAGTTTCTTTTCTCGCACATCTCGCTTGTGGAACTATTTTTCGGTTCCATGCTTTCTGGACAACTTTGATCTTCAAAAATTTAAATGCAATGTCAATCGTTATTGTTATGGTCCAGGTTAGGACCAAGGAAGAACAACACGAACACTAGAAATAACGAAGGTATATTACACGAAATAATAATATAAGATGTGGAAGGTGTTAGTATTACTGTCAGTCTGGTTTGGAGTGAACTACTATCGGCTCGACTCGATTCGTCCCTCTCTCTTAGAGGCGTAGTATACATAGTGTTAGGAAGAGTTCATTTTGTAGTTATATGTAAGGACCCATGACAGTTATCTTCCTGATTACTCTTCTATTGTTCTCGCTCCTTAATATTTCTGTTTTCTAATTCTTTCGCATCCAGTAACCCTTTGTATCTTAGTGGCTTTACTGCCTTGCTTGGGGTAAATTCGATTAAGTCGAAGTGTCTACTGTAATTATGATAATTGATTCAGGTTTTTATTCGTACGCTTCCATTGTTTTAAAACTAGCCTTCCGTTGTGCGTTTTTTAAATTATTTCCAGAAATAATATGTTCCACTATTTGATAAATTTAATATTTAAAAAAAAAAACAAGACAGAAAAGTTTCTTTACTCAAAAAGAAATTTCTTTTACACCCCGTTTATTTATTAAATTCCGAACGTCAATTATTAACCCCACCTGTATTAAGCACCTACGAGTAAATTAATTTAGCAAGTTGTTGATTTAAACTAAGATTAATGAATACCTACATCTGACAAATGTCACTTTAAGAAACATGTCGTCCGATGACGGTTAACAAGCTAACCTCCTTAATAATTTCTAATGAATATTATTGGGACTTATCAAAAGTATTTTCATTTTGTCATTAACCTTGACATTTTTGGGAAGGATATTAAAATAATCCAGAACCGATACTGGCAGCAAGGAAGCCTACATATGGATGTAAAATGAATTCAGTAAATATACAAAAATAGAAAGTTGTGTAAGACAAGTATGTGTCTTCTCACCGGACTTATTCAATCTATAAAGTTAGGTGAATCTGAAATAATTAGAAGTTATACCAGAATTCATTATTGACGGCCAAAATCTTAATATAAACTATAAGATACACAAAGGAAACTGCAAGAACACTCACAGAAGATAATAAAGGAAAGCAAGAAGAAAGGACTAAACAAAATGTATGACTGTCAGCAAATCGAACAGCATAACATGCAAATTATAAATTGGAAATACTAAAATCAAACAAGTACAATAATTTAAATATCTGGGAAGTGTTTTAACAGAGGACGGAAAGTGCAACACCGATATCCGAAGGGGAACTGGGATAGAGAAAAATACCTTTCAAACCTAAGCAAAGTATAAAAAAACTGGAAAGTTTTGTTAGAAACTGTTGTGAACAAGTAAATGGTTAAAGAAATAACAAAACAAGTGTTGCAGATATATATTAAACAGTAAGTACGACAGAAGAGTATTACACGACTAGTGAGTGTGTGTCGGTTGACCCAGCGTTCAGTCTATTCGACTGTTCCCCCAAGGCCTTCTCACCTACTAATCTTATAGTAGGCGGAAGAGTCCAACATAGACTCTTTAGAGGGAGGACATCAAAACAGAAACAAAGAAAAGAGTACTGAACTATAATGTAATATCAGTCCTCCCTATATGGCAGTGAATGCTGGAAATTTTCCCCACAGATGAAGAGACTTGAAGCAAATATGGTTCTACAGAAGAATATCAGCGAATACCATGGCCCGGACATGAGAACAATGATGAAGTTTTATAGAAAATGGAAGCAATAAAGACATTTATACTTAGCATTAGGAAAAAAAAACAATTAATATTCCTATGGCACATAATGAAGAAAGAGGGATTGGAGCATCTGATACTCACAGAACAGATTGAAGGTCAGCGGGACAGAGGAAAACAATGTATAACCTACCTAGTGAGCTTGAGTAAATAGATGGCGGAACATGGTTTAGGAGAGATAACAAAAAGAAAAAATATTAAGAATTACAAAGGAAAGGAAATTGTGGAGTGCTGTGACACTATTTAGATATGGTAATTGGCTAACTAATTAACCATAGAAATTAAAAACAGGAAAGACTTAAGGCGAGAAAGAGTTATATCGAAAGATAGACTGATCGACGTTAAAAAAGAAGATTTTATTTTTATTTACGAAGAAAGATACTTTTCGCACGAGACAGAAAATCCGTAAGAAAAAGCGAGATATGAGATTCTGTCAAAACTGATTAATGTCATGATAAGAGAGTGACGCACCAAGGGAAACAGAATTCAGAAAGAAAAACAAAGCTAACCGACACATGCGGCCATAAAAAAATTTCGGCTTGAGACCACCACGGAGAATAGATATTAGTTATCTTTCAGAGATATCATTTAATTTTAATTCCTGGGTCCAACGAAGGGAGACATCTGGTGTGTTAGAATTTTGGCATGAGGAAGAAAATTTTATTATTATTGCTTATTCAAACTGTTGACGTCAGACACAGCGTCGTCGAAAATGGGCATTTGGTGATTATAGGATTTTAAGGCATGAGAAAAATAAAGAATTTGATTCTCAGGTAAAATACGGATCTCCCAGCTAAAAGTTGACTTAGCAGAAGAAACCAGGTGTCGGGTTTTGACAGTGATTGATGTCGGTAGAGAGACCCGACTAAGTGAATTTTGGGTGTCCCCGAAAGAAAGATGTGATAAAAATTATTTGGCAATCTGGGATTTGTAAATGTTTTGGCCGAAAGAAAAACAAAAACAAAAAAGGATTCTGGATAATAATTCTGGATAATAATTTCAAGAGGGCCAGTCTAGCCACACCCACACAGCCGAGAGATCATTGGTTAAGTGGTAGCATGGGTGATAGGTGGAGGTGAATGTATAAGAAAGTTGTTAACACCCACTGAGGGGATTGGTACGAGATACCAATGTAAGAGAGGAAGAGTCTAGGAGGATAACTCTCCTCCGACATTCCATCACAGACGAGGGAGAAACCCCCGAAATGGAAAGTGATTAATCTTCCAAAAATGGGAAGTAATTAATTTTCCTGGCCTAAGAACAAAGAGAATTCTTGCTGGGAATCGAGAATTATCGGGAACCCAAACCACGCCAGGTCTCCACACCGGGTTTTGGTCGGTATCCATATAAACGAACGTCTCAAGGCAGCTGATAGTTAGTTAGTTCCAGGAGTTCCAGCAGTTGATTCGTAGTTGCAGTCAGACCGTTGCCTCGTAGAAGCTGACCGAGAAATTCCACGCCCTTCCTATTAAGCCTTCCTACTAAAAACAAGTTATATTGACGAACGACAAGATACCAAAACTCGCTGAAGAAACGCAAGTGTCACGAATCCATAGAAACGGGCTGGGAGAGAAACACACTCCTGTATTCAACAGACGGATGAAGATAATTTGTTATTTCTCAACATATTTGAACCTCTTGAGTTTGTTTTATTGCTTCTTTTACTTACGCTTGTGTGATATCACCTTCAGCTTGCACTACGGCCCGACGCCTGATTGATTTCGTCTACCCAAGATCAAAGTCACAACGTGGTTAGGTTAGACTTGAGATCAAAGTAGTTATTTCGGTAACCAGACGTTGGAAGTGAGCTGGGAACGACAAGATTGGTATCAAACCGGGAACGACCAGATCGACCGGGACACAGGCTGGTGGCAGCGACAAAGAGTCAACGCTGGTGGAAGAAAACTTACAGCTTCGCACCGCAACTGGGAGTTGACCACGAGCCGACAGCGCAGTGTCACATATTGGCGTCGCGACCAGTGGACGTTGCATATTGGCGCTGCGGCTGCGACTGCGACCACCGGTGGGTGTCACAGAGCCATGATCGCCAACGTCCTGTAATGACACGGCACATAGACGAAGAAAACCCAGCTTGAGCGAATGAATGGTGGAATATGTTTTAGGAGAAATAAAAAAAGATAAAATTTATTAACGGCTACAAACGACAGGAAATTGTGGAGAGTCATGATCGCCAACGTCCTGAAGGGACACGGCTCATAGAAGAAATAAATCGAACCTGAGTAAATGAATGGCGGAACAAGGTCTAGGAGAGATAACAAAAAGACAAAATTTATTAAGAGCTAAAAAGGTCCGGAAATTGTGGAGAGCCATGATCGCCAACGTTCTGAAGAGATACGGCACATAGAAGAAGAAGAATCATGTTGAAAGTTCTCCAGTGGTGTATTTGATCCTAACATTTTCTAGCTTGAAAATATTCGATTGCTGATGGTCAGGTCCTCTTCAGCTTTGTGTTTTAAAGCATTATAATCGGCAATTGAAAGCCGTTCACTTCTGGGCTTTATTTCAAGGGACAAGTTACCAAAATTAAGACACTGTAAAACCAGTTTAGAGTAGTACGGTCTGATATTGTTTCATTTCATTCCACTTACTAAATTTTGTAAACAGCTTTGGTTTACGGCCGCATACATTAGAAACACCAGTTCCCGTACTATCACCGAAGTTAAGCAACGTCGAGCCTGATCAGTACCTAGAAGGGCGACCGCTTAGGAATACCAGTTGTAAGTTTGGATATGCGGTTGGTGAAATGGGCAATGGCACGGAATTGTTAATCACAGAGCCGAGTTCTAATTCTAGTCGTGTTCGTTATATTCACTTACGTGCAAATAATCTTAGGAAAGTTATGAATCCGCCTCTTCTCCCCAGCTATGAGTTAAATAGTAAGACTTATAGCACTAAACCATTTTTATCAAAAGAAAAAAATTCTTACAATGTAAAAATATTTTCTGGCCTTAAATAACCTGCAAAGTGTTGATAAGCCGTAGAAAACAAATCAATCAATCAAATACTAGCTACACGGGCATGTCTTTTAGATTTATTTACATTCTCTGAAACATAAATGTATAGAAACTGCCGTGGCCACAAAATGATGGCTCAGGTTATATACTGACTGTAAAATAAAATTGAACCCCCACTTTATATCCACATTATAATTTCTTGTTTGTTTATGAAATTCTAAATAGGGATGAATCCATCTCCTTTCCCCTCCCAGCTATGGGTTAATTAGTAAAACTTGTATTACTAAATCGTTATCATCTAAAAAAAACTCTTACAATCTAAACTTATTTTCTGGTTTTAAATAAACTGCAAAAGGTTGATAAGCCGTTGTAAATGGATGAATCAATGAATATGAGCAGCTTCAGCGATTTTGAATATTTTATATATATATATATATATATATATATATATATATATATATATATATAAGGAAAAATTAAATCCTCAGCGTGCCCTTTCCTTCGTGCGTACGTGCAGTTTTATCAAAGTAAACACATCTCCAGTGCAATGAAGTCCTAAAGGACGAAACGCGCCCCACGAAAACTTTTTTTTCCTCTTTGTCCTAGTTTTTTCCCCTCTAAAATTATTCCAGAAAATTAAAATCATATATAACAATTTATATATCTTTTTGTCATCCTCCAAAATTCCTACGTACATCTCTTATATCTTATCCCTTTATTCCCCCACCCTTTTTTCCTCTTTCTTCCCTTTTTTCCTTTTTCTCCATATCATTTCCGTTGAGTTGACCGATTAAATAGGTCAATGTCTGATCCTTACCCACTCCTTCCACAATATTAAGTATTGTAATAAAAATCAAAATAAATTTTAAAACTCTCCCTTCCCTCTCTAAACACGACCATGTTTCTCACACTATTCCTCACCACCTTCTATGTCAACTTATATAAGCTTAATACTGCACGTCAAAAGTGTGAATTTTAAATTCATTTTTCGTTTAACCTTTGAAAGTGAAGTCTGAAAATCCAGAGAAAAATAAAATTCTCTGGTGAAATGAATTATAACAAATGGAGCCTTGAAATGCTCAGTTTTTTTAAATTAAATATATATATATATATATATATATATATATATATATATATATATATGATTATATTAGATAACTTGTACAACCAACAGAAACCAAATACGGAAGTTAACTTCAAACTCATCATAGGTCCGACATCTGATTGGTTAATCGAGGTCATTCCCTAGCATGTTAGAAATTTAGTTTTTCCCCTCCCCAACTTTCTGTTAGAGTATTTCTGTTTTTAGACCATACAATGATCGTTTATTCTCTAGTTAACCACCACCACCTGAAGATGCGCCTAAAGTGCTGAAACGTGTGTAGCGGTTTATAACATGTTTTTGTTATAATTGTTAATAAATATTATAAAGCTCTACTCTGCTCTATATTAGCACTTTTTAAAAATATAATGTTTGGACATTGGAATTAACCTATCCACTTGTATATATATATATATATATATATATATATAAATTCCCAAGAAGATAGAATCCAGGTAGGACTCAATGTCCAGGACGGAAAATTTTTACATATACCTCGGCAGTATGAATTGGCTGGATTTTAAGTTTAGATCATATCGTTTTTTATTGTGTTTAGTGTCACCACAAATGTATCCACACATTTCCGGTGTCTCTTTTTTAATTTTAATTTTAGGTCAGCAAATCGGTAGTGATTTATGCATCTGAAAATAATCCATATTTATCTGTATCTGACTCATTTAAACCGTTATTTAAAACCTCCCTTTAAAACTTCTCTATTAAATTTTAATCCCCACCTTCACCTTAAGGCCTTCCTGTTCTTCTTTCTTCTATTACACCTCTCTCTAGAGCTTTCATACATCTCCCTCTCACACTTGTTTCCCACTCCCACACATACACTCACACTAATTTTTTTTTTTTTTTTTTTATACCCGGAGTTATATTTTCCGATTTCTTTTTGAATTGGATCGTGATTATGATTCCAATGTGATAAATTATAATCATGGAATATTAGTGTTGGAGCCGTTTACATTATATATATATATATATATATATATATATATATATATATATATATCAGGTCATCCCATAAGTTCTGTCCGAATTTTAACTTTTTGTTAAAGTGAACGAAATTTAAAGAGTATTTTATAATGTCTAATGGAGCTGAACATTATTTTTATGTTTAGATGCATTTAAACTGATCAAATTTTATTTCAGAGAACAATAAAATTAAATTTTCTTTGATTAAAACCCTGCTAAAATAGAAGTACCCAAGAATCATTTGAGGCACATAATGCTTTATGAGTTCAAGAAAGGAAACTCAGCAGCCGAAGCGGCTAGAAACATTCACTCATGGAGAGGAATGTGTGAATGAAAGAACTTGCAGAAGATGGTTTGCAAAATTCAGAGGTGAAGATTCCACCCTTGAAGATGAAGATCGAACCGAACGTCCAGTTGAGTTTGATGAAAAGCTTCTTGAAGCAGCCCTTGAAGAAAATCTTGCTTTATCAGTTGCGGAATTGGCAGTGGTTCTCAGTTCAAACCATACAACTGTTCATCGTCATCTTCATCAACTTGGAAAAGTTCCTAAACTTGGAAAATGGGTGCCTCATGAATTGTTGGAAAACAACTTCAAATCCCGAGACATCTGCTCTTTTCTCCATTCTCGCCAACTTGTTTCACCTTTTTTTGGATAGACTTGTGACTGGCGACGAAAAATGGATCTTTTATCGAAATGTTAAGCGCCGTAGACAGTGGCTTGGTAAAGGGGAAGGACCCCAGCCACAGCCGAGAAGGGAACTTCATGAGCAAAAGGTTCTTCTTTCAATCGGGTGGGACCGCCAAGGAATAATCCACTTTGAATTCTTACCACCTAATGCAACAATTAATGCTCAAATATACTGTCAGCAATTAGAGCATTTGAACCAAGCTTTGAGGAAAAAAGACCTGCTCTAGTGAATCGAAAAGAGGTGATGTTTCATCAGGACAATGCGCGACCCCACACAGCAAGAATCACGCCACAAAGATCGAAGAACTTGGGAGAAAATTCCTCATCCACCTTATTCTCCCGATCTTGCTCCTTCAGACTACCATTTGTTTCGTAGCTTACAGAAGAATTTTGAAGAAACAGCTTTTGCAACACAGGAAGAGGTTAAAACTGACATTTGTGAGTTCTTCGAATCAAAGCCAAAAGAATTTTACAGTAATGGAATTAGTAAGCTTAATAGATGGAAGGAAGTCATAGATAATCAGGTAAAATACATTGTTGATTGAATCTGTAATTAAATGTAACATTTGGTCACTTGTTTTCTTTATTCAAAATTCGGACAGAACTTATGGGATGACCTGATATATATATATATATATATATATATATATATATATATATATATGAAGATGTATATTGAGATCGAAATTGTGAAAAGGATTGATAAGCCGTAAAACAAAACATATCAATGCATCAATTAGCGATTTTAAATTACTTATCTTGTTCAAGGTAAAAGTTACATCTCTGCTTCTTTGTAGACTGACGGTGAATTTGCCTGGACTTGAATCAAATCACAGAAAAATGGCAACACTTCGTTTCAACATGTTTTCATTGACATTCGTATTTGTTTACTTGTTTTTGGTCTCAGCAGATGAAGGTAAGTCTTGTCTGGTTTTACAATATCATCCTTCTGTAGAGTGATATCATCTTTAAGCACTAGAATTTACCATTCAGCTGTGCATTGAATATTGCTACCATATCTGCTTTGGTGCTCCTAATATCTCGAGATACAAAGAAGGGTCTGTAATGTAATTCCTCCTGAACTGGCATCTCGACATCAGTTGCTTTCTCGCCGACGTGACAATGCTCCCCTATGTCTTTTCTACAAATATTTTCATTGCAATTCTTCTGATGGACTTTCTTCCTTATGATTGTTCTTAATTATTTAGTCCCGCATTAATTTTGTCCAGTTAATTGATTTTTCTCCGAGAATTAAAGATTATGGGGTTTTATTATTAAAACTGTTTTATTTAGTTTTTTGTATTAAATTGATTTCATTGTAAATATTCATTGGGGCTTCATTTTAAAATGTTGTTAATTTTATTCCCCACTTACCACAGACAAATTGTACATATGAGGACTAGTTTGGACTATCTGTCTATATTTCTGAGATGAGGTATTATGTATACTATTTACATTATTCGGACAATTGTCCTCATTTTTGTCGCCATATTTATTACAACGTTTCGTTTCGTTGTACGGCCTTTTTCAGGTTGGGTCCTGTCACTGGATCTAACTAACACCTTTACCCACTGTGCTATGTGTCCTCAAGTTAGATCCAGTGACAGGACTCAAAGAGTGTGAGTTCAATACCCGGTTAAGACAGAACTTGAAGAGGGGAATTAACAGGAAATAACTGACAACTGACATCCATTAAACATAGCACGTGGAACTAGAGCAGTCTACCCCAGTGAGCGAAATAAAGGGTTCAGTTCGACATTCAAATCACCTGAAGAAGGCCCGAACGTACAACGGCCGAAACGTTGTAATAAATATGGCAACAAAGATGAGGATAATAGTCCGAATAATGTAAATAGTGTAGTTTGGACTACATAGAGACTTGAAGTATTATGGTGGCTGTGGTGGAATAATGGATAGCGGCTCGCATTGAGGAATCGGGGAGCCGAGTTCGAATTCCAGTCGAATCCATTACATTCACTTACGTGCTAATACCATT